TCTCAGACACCACCATCACCATCCCTGGATATGTCCTGTCCCACCAGCAGGACAGACCCAGCCGAGGCGGGGCGGCACAGTGGTATACAGTCGGGAGGGTGTTGCTCTGGGAGTCATCAACATTGACTCTGGACCCCATGAAGTCTCATGGCTTCAGGTTAAATATGGGCAAGGAAACCTCCTGCTGATTACCACATACCGTCCTCCCTCAGCTGATGAATCAATACTCCTCAATGTTGAACAACACTTAGAGAAAACACTGAGGATCGCACAGACACAAAATGTACTCTGGGTGTGAGATTTCAGTGTCCACCACCAAGAGTGGCTCGGCAGCAGTACTACTGATCGAGCTGTTCGGGTCCTATAGGACATAGCTGCTAGACTGGGTCTGCAGCAGGTGGTGAGGGAACCAACAAAAGGGAAAAACATACTTGACCTCATCCTTACTAATCTGCCACCTGCAGTTGTATCTGTCCATGACAGTATCGGTAAGAGTGACCATCGCACAGTCCTTGTGGAGACAAAGTCCCACCTTCACATTGAGGACAACCTCCATCGTGTTGTGTGGCACTGTCACTGTGCCAAATGGGACAGACTTCGCACAGATCTAGCAACTCAGGACTGGGCATCCATGAGACACTGTGGGCCATCAACAGCAGCAGAATTGTACTGCATAATCTGTAATCTCATGGCCCAGCATATCCCCCACTCAACCATTACCATCAAGCCAGGGGATCAACCCTAGTTCAATGAAGAGTGCAGGAGGACATGCTAGGAGCAGCACCAGGCATACCTGAAGATGAGGTATCAACCGGATGAAGCCACCAAACAGGACTACTTGCACGCCAAAAAGCGAAAGCAGCTAGTTACAGACAGAGCTAAGCGATCCCACAACCAACGGATCAGATCCAAGCTCTGCAGTCCTGCCCCATCCAGTTGTGAATGGTGGTGGACAATTAAACAACTCACTGGAGGAGGAGGCTCCACAAATATCCCCATCCTCAATGATGGAAGAGCAAAGCACATCAGTGCAAAAGATAAGGCTGAAGCATTCGCAGCAATCTTCAGCCAGAAGTGCTAAGTGGATGATCCATCTCGGCCTCCTCCAGTGGTACCCGGCGTTACAGATACCAGTCTTCAGCCAATTCGATTCACTCCATGTGATATCAAGAAACGGTTGGAGACCCTACATACTGCAAAGGCTAGGGGCCCTGACAACATTCCGGCAACAGTACTGAAGACCTGTGCTCCAGAACTTGCTGCTCCCCTAGCCAAGCTGTTCCAGTACAGTTACAACACTGGTATCTACCCGGCAATGTGGAAAATTGCCCAAGTATGTACTATACACAAAAAGCAGGACAAATCCAACCCAGCCAATTACTGCCCCATCAGTCTACTCTCGATCATCAGTAAAGTGATGGAAGTTGTCATCAACAGTGCTATCAAGCAGCACCTGCTCAGCAATAACCTGCTCAGTGATGGCAGTTTGGGTTCCTCCAGGGCCACTCGGCTCCTGACCTCATTACAGCCTTGGTTCAAACATGGACAAAAGAGCTGAATTCCAGAGGTGAGGTGAGAGTGACAGCCCTTGATATCAAGGCTGCATTTGACAAAGAGCGGCATCAAGGAGCCCTGGCAAAACTGGAATCAATGGGTGTCAGGGGGCAAACTCTCTGGTGGCTGGAGTCATACCTGACACATAGGAAGATGGTTGTGGTGTTGGAGGTCAATCATCTCAGCTCCAGGACATCTCTGCAGGAGTTCCTCAGGGTATCATCTTTAGCTGCTTCATCAATGACCTTCCCTCCACCATAAGGTTAGAAGTGGGGATGTTCACCGATGATTACACAATGTTCAGCACCATATGTGACACCTCATATACTAAAGTGTTCAAAAGCAACAAGATCTGGACAATATTCAGGCTTGGTCTGACAAGTAACAAGTAATATTCGCGCCACACAAATGCCAGGCTGTGACCATCACCAACAAGAGACAATTTTACCACTGCCCCTTGACATTCATGGTGTTACCATCAATGAATCCCCCACTATCAACATCCTGGGGATTATCATTGACCAGAAACTCAACTGGACTCACCACATAAACACAGTGATTACAAGAGCAGGCCAGAAGCTAGGAATACTGCGGTGTGTAACTCACCTCCTGACTCCTCAAAGCCTGTCCGCCATCTACAAGGCACAAGTCAGGAGTGTGATGGAGTATTCCCCACTTGCCTGGATGAGTACAGCCCCAACAACACTCAAGAAGCTTGACACCATCCAGGACATAGCAGCCTGCTTTATTGGCACGACATCCACAAGCATCCATTCTCTCCACCACCGATGATCAGTAGCAGCAGTGTGCACTATCTACAAGATGCACTGCAGAAATTCACCAAAGATCCTCAGACAGCACCTTCCAAACCCATGACCACTTCCATCTAGAAGGTCAAGGGCAGCAGATATATGGGAACACCACCACCTCCAAGTTCCCCTCCAAGCCACTCATCATCCTGAGTTGGACATATATCACCGTTCCTTCACTGCCGCTGAGTCAAAATCCTAGAATTCCCTCCCTCCTAGCATTGTGGGTGTCACCCTACAGCTGGTGGACTGCAGCGGTTCAAGAAGGCAGCTCACTACCACCTTCTCAAGGGCAACTAGGATTGGGCGAGAAATGCTGGCCCAGCCAGTGATGCCCACATTCCACAAATGAATAGAAAAAAAAAAGTTGTATATTCATGTCGTGAGGCAGTGAAGACTGTGATAGAACAGCAGCTCCCTTTAGGGCAGACCTGTCATCCATGGGGCCCCCCATTTTTACAGCACTGGGTTTATTGTCCATAACAGACTTGAGCACTTTTGCTGCATTTTTGATATCCACCAAAATACCTACGGCTTCCTGCACTTAGCAAGTCATTTAACACAGGCAAACTGTGTATTTCACTGCAGAATTTATAGGTCTCTGTACTCAGGCTTCCACCAGTGGATTCAATGGAACATTGCTCTGAACTAGAGATGTAAGGATTGGGAGAATTCACTTGGTATTTCAATATGCCTCTTGTGGTGCAGTGATAGTATCTTTACCTTTTGAGCCAGTGGGGCAGGGTTCAAGACCCACCTGTTCCAGACGTGTGTAATAACATTAACATCAGGTTGATGGGAAGCAGCTTTTTTTTTAAAAAAGAAGTATGTTTCCTGAGTTCGGGACAGATTGCAAGCTTGACAGAGCAACATAGGAACATCAATTAATTATTCACACCCTCAAGCCTGTTTCATCAGAGATCAATAAAGCTGGCTATATTGTGGACATTCTCAGCTTCCTGGTTGAGGAAACTGTCAGAATATGGGGAGCAGCGAGGGTGTTGTATAATTTAATGCTTCAGAAAGAATTAATGCTGAGCTCCTCCTAGTCTGATGATGTTTCACATCCTCTGGATGGAAAATCAGCCATAGAGTCATACAGCATGGAAACAGACCGGATATCCGAAATTAATCTAGTCCTGTTTGCCAGCATTTGGCCCGATTTCCTATAAACCCTTCCTTTTCATATACCCATCCAGATGCCTTGTAAATATGGTAATTGTACCAACCTCCACCACTTCCTCCAGTAGCTCCTTCTATACACGCACCACTCTCTGTGTGACAAAGTTGCCCCTTGTTTCCCTGTTAAATCCTTCTCCGCTTACTCAAACCTACGCCCTCTAGTTTTGGACTCCCCCACCCCGGGAAAAAGATCTTGGCTATTCACCCTATCCATGCCCTTCATGATTTTATAAACCTGTATAAGGTCACCCTTCAGCCTCCAATGCTCCAGGGAGAATAGCCCCAGCCTATTCAGCCTCTCCCTATAGCTCAAACCCTCCAACCCCAGCAACATTCTTGTAAATCTTTTCTGAACCCTTTCAAGTTTCACAACATCCTTTCTATAGCAGTATTGCATGCAGTATTCCAAAAGTGGTCTAACCAATAATCTTGTACAACCACAACCTTACCTCCCAACTCCTGTTCCCAACTTCTATACTCAATGCACTGATCAATAAAGGCAAGCATACCAAATGCTTTCTTCATTATCCTATCTATCTGCGACTCCACTTTCAAGGAACTAAGAACCTGCATTCCAAGGTCTCTTTGTTCAGCAACACTCCCCAGGACCTTAGCATTAAGTAAACAAGTCCTGCTCTGATTTGCATTTCCAAAATGCAGCACTTCACATTTATCTAAATTAAATTCCATCTGATCAAGATCCCGTTGTCCTCTGAAGTAATCTTCTTTGCTGTCCACTACACCACTAATTTTGGTGTCATCTGTAAACTTACTAACCATACCCCTATGTTCACATCTGCATCATTTATATAAATGACAAAAAGCAGCGGACCCAGCACTGATCCTTGTGGCACACCATTGGTCACAGGTCTCCAGTCTGAAAAGCAGCCCTCCACCACCACCCTCTGTCTTCTACCTTTGAGCCAGTTCTGTATCCAAATGGTTAGTCCTTCCTGTATTCCACGTGATCTAACCTTGCTAACCAGTCTATCATGAGGAACTTTGTCAAATGCCTTACTGAATTCCATATAAATCACGTCCACAGCTCTTCCCTCATCAATCCTCTTCATTACTTCCCCACACAAAGTCATGTTGACAATCCCTAATCAGTCCTTGTCTTTCCAAATATATGTAATTCCTGTTAGACTCTGGCATGGTCTCAGACACCAGGCCAGGGGTCTGTACCTTTTAGTAATAGTAAATATGCCTCAGTTTTGCAACCTGGTATGTAAGAAACTATATTGTTATATAAAGGCAAGAGCCTCTTGTGTTGAGAGCTGTTTGTGGTCCATCCTCCACCACAGTCTACTGAACAACCGCTTCGACTGGCATTGGGAAGAGGATTGGTGGCAGCACTCAATCCTGACCACAAACCACTGAGACATTGCATCATTTAATAGCAAAGTGTATAAAATGGAACTGCACTTTGAGCTAAGCTGATGTATATATTTTCAGGATTCAGAAGACGGGAAAACTTACTTCACAAAGATTCACGCTCCTTGGGATGTCTTGGCCACATATGCAGAAGTTATGCACATTAAAGTGCCTATTAAAGAAAATGATATTCCCCAAGCGAGAGAAAACCCATTTGACTGGATGTTGAAACCATTTCAACTGAATTCAACAATAATAAACCCTGAACCAGATTACTTCACAGCGGCTTTCAGTAAACAGCGGCAAGAGCTCTTCCTCATTAATAATCCAGAGACTTTTTTCTCGCCCTCTACTCGCAACCGAATTGTAAGTACAGTCCAGTTTAAACCATTTGCTTTCGATACAGATGATATGGCACTTTGAGTGTAACTTAACACTTCCAAGATGACTTTGCTCTGCTTTCAGTACATCTCTCTGTGCTGCACTGATCCATTCTATTTATACAAATGCAAACCACTGTGGCGATACAGAAGGTGTCAAGCCAGCTGTGTAGACTTGTGTTTTTGGAAGCAGCTGCTTAATCGCATGAATATTTTGTCCTTACTTTCTCAACAGCATTCTGCAATAATGCTCTTTATAATTATCAATCAGTTTGTTTCCTTGCTCTATGGAGCACTGGATTTGAATAGGGTTTCATTGTTTTTAACAGCATTTTTGAAGTGTAAGTTTGTGTTTTTTTTCCCTGAAAAATGCAAACCTCATTGTGAATTTCCAATCCCTCTCCCATGCTGTAAATGGGAACTGTGCTGTACACTTCTTCATGCAATATCCCCCTCTCTCAATTCGTACTCCAGGTGTATTACATTCTCTCTCGATGCAAGTATGCGACAGAAGAAGGCAAGAGGAAATTTGGGATTAAGAGATTACTCAACAATGGCACATACACTGCAGCTTTCCCACTTCACGACGTATGTATTCTGTTCAGTAAAGACAGTGTGCTTCTGCCTAAATATTATTGTTGTGTTTAAATCTCCAGTTGGTTTTTCAGAGATTTAAAAATATGTATCATATTGTGTTTGTAATAAAAAGTATCATTTGGGCTTCATTAATAGGCTGAATATTGAGTGTTTAGGACACTGGTGGACTGCACACACGCAGGGACACTTTGATGTTCTGGCAGCCTTGACCTGAGTCTCAAATTTTACACATCTCTGGAGGAGGTTACCAGTTAGTGTCAGTCAGTCACCTCCCACACTCCGCTTATATGCACACTCTTGCTAAAAGTGGAGGTAATGATGAGTGTGGTATATGTAACCAATTATAGGGACAGAGGGAGTATTAGGGAATGACTAAGGAATGAACCTCTATTCCAGAAGAAATGGTCCCTTTTGAAAGCTGAAAGGGAGTTCATCCTGAACGATCCTTTATATTCTTTCACTTCTGTATTCTGTTTCTCCTCTCCCCATTTCCAGAGTTATAAGGGTTTGTGAGTTACCATGTACACACATACCTCTATCCTCAAAGGTAAAAGAGCCCAGCACATCAGATTAAAAGACAAGGCTGAAGCATTTGCATCCATCTTCAGCCAGAAGTGCCAAGTGAATAATCCATCTCAGCCTCCTCCAGTGGTCCCCAGCATTACAGATACCAGTCTTCAGCCAATTCAATTCACTGCAATTGATATCCGGAAATGTTTGAAAGCACTGGATACTGCAAAGACTATGAGCCCTGACAACGTTCCAGCAATAGTACTGAAGATTTGAGCTCCACAATGCGCCACTTCCCTAGCCAAGCTGATCCAGTACAGTTACAGCATTGGCATCTACCCAACAAAGTGGAAAATTGCTCATGTGTGTCCTGTACGTGAAAAGAAGTAGGATAAATTTAACCCAGCCAATTACAGCCCCATCAGTCTACTCTCAGTAAAGTGAAGGAAGGAGTCATTGACGTGCTATCAAGCAGCTCCTCTCAGCAATAACCTGCTCAGTGACACCCAGTTTGGGTTCTGCCAAGATCACTCAGCTCCTGGCCTCATTACAGCCTCAGTCTAAACATGGAAAAAGAGCTGAACTCAAGAGCGAAGTGAGGGTGACTGCTCCTGACATCAAGGCAGCAATTGACCAAATGTGGAATCAATCTGAAGTCAATGGGATTCAGGAGAAAAATCTCCACTGGTTGGAGTCATACCTGGCACATAGGAAGATGTATGTGGTTGTTGGAGGTCAGTCATTTCGGCTGCAAGACATCTCTGCAGGAGTTCCTCAGGGTAGTATTCTTTAGGCCCAGCCATCTTCAGCTGCTTCATCCTTCCTTCAATTATCGGGTCAAAAGGGACAGTGTTTATTGCACAAAGTTCAATGTCAGATACCAAACCAATCCTGTATCTAAATGCAGGAAGACCTGGTCAACATTCAGTTTGGGCAGTTAGGTGGTAAGTGGAATTCATTACCACTCAAGTGCCAGATAGTTACCATCCCCACGAACAGAGAATTCAATCATCTCCCCTTTTTATTCTATGGCATTAACATTGCTGAATCCCCCACTATCAATATCTTGAGGGTTACCATTGACCTGAAACTGAACTGAATCAGCTGAACAAATACTTTGGCTACAACAGCAGGTCAGATGCTGAGGATTTGATGACAATTAGCTCGCCTCCTGACTCCTCAAAGCCTGTCCACCGTCTAAAAGGCACAAGTCAGGAATGTCATGGAATTTTCTGAAGAAGGGTCTAGGCCCGAAACGTCAGCCTTCCTGCTCCTCTGATGCTGCTTGGCCTGCTGTGTTCATCCAGCTCTACACCTTGTTATCTCATGTCATGGAATACTCCCAACTTGTCTGGATGGGTGCAGCTCCAGCGACACTCGAGAAGCTTGACACCATCTAAAGCGAAGCAGCCGGCTTGACTGGCCCCACATCTACAAACACCCACTCCCTTCACCACCAACATTCAGTGGTAGCAGTGTGTACCATCTACAAGATGCACTATAGCAAATCAACAAGCCTCCTTAGACAGCACCTTCTGAATCCATAACCACTCCCCTCTAGAAGGGCAAAGAAAACAGATACATGGGAAGACCACAACCTGCAAGTTTCCCTGCAAGCCATGTGACTTATCGACTTGGGAATACATCACCATTCCTTCACTGTCACTGGGTCAAAATCCCTCTCTAAAAGCACTCTGATGTATCTACACCAAATGGAAAGTAATGGTTCAAGAAGGCAGCTGACCGTCATCTCTGCAAGACCAACTAGGGATAGACAAACAACACTAACCCAGCCGGAGATGCCCACACTCCATGAATTAATTAGAGGTAAAAGTCTAGAGCAGAAATTTAGTTTTTGTGTCAGTTGTGTACACTAAAGGTTCAGTTTCTGAAAGGGTTCTTTTGTGTCATTTCAGTCAAAGGCATCTCTATAACTTGACATTCATACACACTGGGTCAAATGTCACTGAAATCTGGAAACATCAGTTTTCTTTAAACTGTGGCAGCTTTTTCCTCTGCTCTGCCTGATTATGAAGGCAGGCAGGCAGAAGTGTCCCATTGTTTTCATCCTTTGAAGTAGCCCTATTTTTTATGGTGCTGTGGCTTTGGTCAGTTATTAGACTTTACCAAAAATTGATGTTGTTTCTCCATTCCTGGAGCAGGTTTAATATCACCCCAGCCAGCCTAGCAGAGGGTTATAGTTTGCTGTGTTTCACTCCTTTTGTGCCAAGCCCCACTCCCAGTGCCAGTTAAAATATTAACATTGTTTTCTCGCCAGGCACCACCTTCAGACTAATATTTGGTGTTTACGTTTGAAGTCAGCCGTGTTTGCCTGGAGCTTTGAGACCTTCTGCATCAACAAGAAGACAGCTTTCCAACTGCATATGAGGATCTGACTGCTGTACACGAATGCCACCTCTCCAGTTTATCTGCCCCTCTACACCTTCATCACATTACATGTGTTGCAACTAGAATTCATTGAAAGTATAAAAAGGGTACTTGGGACAAAAGTTAAGTTGAATCAGGCCATCAGATTGCGAAAGTTGAATTGAAGAAGTCAACACTTCATCACCATTACATATGAGCATTTCTTGAACCATTGCAGTCCATTTTGTGTAGGTACCCCTAAGCTGCTGATCGGGAGAGAATTCCAGGATTTTGACCCAGCGACACTGAAGGATTACTGTTATATTTCAAATTCAGAATGGTGAGTCGCTTGGACAGGAACTTGCAGGTGGTGGTGTTCCCATTTCTCTGCTGCCCTTGTCTTTCTAGGTGGTGATATTTGTGGGTTTGGAAGTGTTATCTAAGAATCTTTTGGTGAATTTCTGCAGTGCATCTTATAAGTGGTACACACTGCTGCTGCTGAGTGTTAGTGGTGGAGGGAGTAAATGTTTATGGATGTGGTGCCAATCAAGCGGGCTGCTTTGCCTTGGATGGTATTAAGCTTCTTGAGTGTTGTTAGTGCTGCACAAATTCTGGTGTGGGGTGTGTTCCATCGTATTCCTGACCTGTGCCTTGCAGATGGTGGACCGGCATTGGGAAGTCAGGAGGTGAGTTACTCGCTGCAGTATTCCTAGCCTCTGACCTGCTCTTGTAGTATATATATAGCTGGTCCAGTTCAGTTTCTGATCAATGGTAATGCCCCCAGGGTGTAGATGGTGGGAGATTCAACGACGCAAGACCAGAATCACTTCAGCCATAATCTTATTGAATGGCAGAACAGGCTTGAGGAGCTAAATTGCCTACAACTCCTAATTTGTATGTACATATGACAACAGAGTAACAGCAAGTAGTTTTACATCAGGACAGTGTGGGGCTTAAAGAGAACTTTCAAGTGATGCTGTTTCCAAGCTTCTGCTGCTCTTGTCCCTATAGGTGTTGACATCACTGTTTTGAGAGGTACAAACAAAAAAAAACCCTTAACTTCCACAATACCACAATTATAGTCAGACAAGTACTTTTTCATCTGTGACACGCTGTAAAAATATTCACTGCTCATTAATTAAAATCTCATTTCTGTATCCAGTTGCTTTATTCAGAACAAGTGACCAACTCTCAGTAGGTACTCAGTCACATTTTTTTAAAAATTTGAAACAATTTTAATTTTGAGTACCACAGAGGATTTTCAAATCTACTCAAACACGAGCTGAATGCAGTGATCACATCAGGCTGATATTGTTGCAAAGTAAGATCCAAATATTATCCAATACGTATATGTGGTGCTGTTTATGCACTTTTAAAAAGAACAGGGAACCACAAATATAACACAGTGTGGAGCTGGAGAAACACAGCAGGCCAGGCAGTGTCGGAGGAGCAAGAAAGTTGGCATTTCGGGTCCGGACCCTCCTTGTACCGAAGGGAGGTGTAATTTAGGGATGTGCATAGAACATTGGCCCAGCTAGCGTTACCCACATCCCATGAATAAATCAAAAAGAATGGCTATATGTATTCTTTTTGCCTTTAGAAATCACATTTCTACATACATACATATAGCTACATATATACATATGTACAGTAGAAATGAACCATATTGTGACCCCAACTGATAATCTTCTACTGGTTGTTAGATGTTATTCTTGGCGCACTCAAGATTGTTTGACAAGTGTTGTCCAATAATAAAATTACACCTAATCGTAGACATCAAGTTCTCAGCACTGGGTGAGTGCAATCAGTACATTGCCTCTTTTTGAACAGCTGGAGAAGTATGCAGTCTGCTCTGATTTGCGCTAATCATTGTGGCACCAAGATAGGGAGCGTTCTCGCAACTCTCTGGGGTCATAACCACCTTGATCAAATCATTTTGCTTACAGTCTGCCACATAAACCCACACATGGGCCTGTAACTACCACTTCCTGACCTGAAAACAGCCCAGTTCACTGTAAATTATTCTGAAAGGTGAAGGCATCTCGAACATTTGAGCTAACAAGGTGTAGAGCTGGATGAACACAGCAGGCCAAGCAGCATCAGAGGAGCAGGAAAGCTGACGTTTCGGGCCTAGACCA